CATTTAGTAGATGAAAACTTGGATCATATCTCAATATAACTGAAGCTATCACCTCATTGTTTTTAAATAATTAGTAAAACAGAATTTGCAAAGAAAGAAAATTAAATAGATCCAAAGGACCTATCAGTAACTATGTCTGTTCCAGCGCATATCATCATTAGAATTTCTTTTAGTATTATGTCTTCATAACCGAGGCCAGGACATGAGCTACAGGGGCACTGGCCCCCGTTGGCTTCTGTCTAGAACCACCCATGGAAGTGAAGCTAAGAGCCCTAAATCTGTATTGATTCTCCTTTATTATGCAAATCTGCTGAGGTTAGGTGACTATATGGTAACTCTTCTTGTTAGATAACATTGACATTCCAGTGCTTTATTAAATGCATGGCGTAGGAGTGTGAAGCTAAAATCCTAAAAGTAGATTTATTTTGTAATTATTCAAGTAACAGGAATTATTAAAGAAAAAAAGCAGTGTGTTTGTCCCAAAAAGAATAAAAAAATAACATTACATCGTCTTGTTTTTTTTGGCTGATGGTGCTACCATCAGCCAAAACACCCTGCTTTGTAGTGTTATACAGTAAAAACTTTCTACCTTTTCACCATAAATTAAAACACTATAGATTCTTACACTTATTGTTTGTATGTTTAATAATTTTTAGTAGTAGGATGTCAAAATCAACAACTAACATTTTGAACAGATGGTGTTTTCAATTTAAAACTAAACTGGTGATTAAAAAAAAAAAAGTTGGTCCTAAATCTTAAATAAACGGCTTAATTTCAAATATTTCTGTTAAAGATTTTATTAAAGTTTAAGATATTTTGGATTAATGGATTAACAGTTTGTAAAAAGAAAAGAAAAAATAGGATGCTTCCAGTTATTTGGTGAGACACCAAAAGAGATTCTCTTATTTTATAAAACTGATAATAGTTTATAAAGAGTTTGGTTATTGTGTATCTAGCCTGCATTTGGTGAGTTGATTTTGTCAAAAGTCATTTACCTTGCAGAAAATGATGATTGACTGGAATATTGTCCAAATCCCTGCATTTGTTTCTTGGAAGAAATTTTAAAAAGGGGAAAATCTTTAAGCAGGCTGAGCAGCAGTGCTCAGCAGCATGTGAGAAATAGGCAGAGCTACTGTATATCCTTCATAAAACCAAAGAAAAGTCATTCCAATCCCTTCTTTGGCATCTCATTAAATTGACTTTAAACCATGAAAGGGTACAATAATACTTTTGGAGCTGTAATGTTTTCCCTTTATAACAAAAAATATGTTCTAAATGTTTTTTTTCTCTACTTATAACATATAGAAATGTTGAATGTCTTTACAAATTTATTGGGGAAAAATCAATGTCAAAGATTAAATATAGAATTAAATGTATTAGATGTGAAAGCATTTGTATTTCTGTTTCCAGGATGTCAAGAAGATCCTGACCCGCAGCCCCGACATGAGCGTCACATCATGGTTCCTGGTCAGCAGCTCGGGCACGCGCCACCGCCTGCCCCGAGAAATGATTTTTGTCGGCCGAGAAGAATGTGAGCTCATGTTGCAGGTGAGCCAAGATGCTGCTGGGAAATCAAGTTCTGTTTCAGGCATCAAGCTGAGGTTCAGCCCTAATTCTGGAAAATACACCTAAACAAAAAATATTTTTTATTAATATAGGACTCAGACAAAGCTGCTTCTGGTTAGAGTAGGTTAGCGGCGGTGGTTAGCTGTGCTAAACTCCCCATTTGAAATGTAGCCATGTCATTCCCCTGTGAAGCTTTTTTTTTTCTTTCTTTGTGGTCTTTCCATGATTTTCCTTTCAATTTTTATTAAAGCGGCAACAAAGGAATGTAGTCTCAGACGCAGTTGGTTTTAAAATTATGTGGTGTGTTGAGCCAAAATTTCTGCTAACCACTAAAGTTTTGGATTAAAACATTGCTCTGATCCATGTTTAGGCATTATTACTGGAAAAAAAACAGCTCATTCCTCATTTCACTTCAAATAGTTTAAAATTTCTCCTGTTTCTTTTGTTTGTTTGTTTTTTTTGTGGTTTTTTTTGTGTGTGGCTTTTCTAAAACATGCGATTCCTGTTCAGCGTGAAAAGCAGAAATGCCCTTTAAATGAGGTCGTTTCAAACAGCATAATTACCGGCCTGGCTGCTTGATCACTGAGTGGACAGGAATTCCTTTCTTCAACACCTCTTTGTCTCCAATCCAGTGATGTGTTTGTTATTTTTCAGTGTCAGAGTTCAGGCCTTCTGATTCTGATATCAGGGGCAAAGTGAGGCTTTCTGCCATTGAGTTCAGACTGTATTATTCTTATTATCCTGCACTGGTAAACCAATCAAGGATGTACAGCAGCTGATAAGCCCACCATTGTGACCAGGGCAGTATTTACAATCCGCCTAAAAGCTTTCAGACACAAACATCAAACAGCAGTTCCTCCCAGTGAGTTCTTGTTTACAACAACACTGATCCATTTTAGGACAGCGTTAATTTAGCAAATTAATTTGGCAGACATTCAAAGGGTTTGCTTTTCTGTGACAGAGGGGCCCAGGATGGGAATAAGCAAGAAAGATAGTCAGTCACTCTGATAATGTGCTCAGTGTGTTTCAAATTAGAGAAGGTAGGTCTTTACCCTGGTTAGTGGCAGGTATGGTGAAAAAATGAGGACCAACTTTAGGTTTGACTAATTGGGAAATTTTAGCATCTTGTCTACAAACTTTTAAATAAAAAA